AAGACATCTAAATTAAGCATTTTTATTAGGAAAACAATATGTCAGCTCAAAGGAGATGGCTATGCTAAGGTAACGAAAGGTCTACAGCATTCCTTGCGCTGAGGGAGGTGATTCCCCATTCGTGTTGGCCTCCTTCAGTGTACTGTGTCCCAGGATGAGGGTAACCAAAGAACTTAAAAGAGGAAAAAGAAACTGCAACAAAAATGGAACGCTGTGAAATTAATAATTATATCATTTAATATTTATATGATTGTACCTAAAACACTAACTCAAGGTATAAAGAAATGTCACTGGTTAAGAGAAGTTGAAATACTTACATTTATCAAGAGAGTGGTCATTGGCAAGTGAAACCACACAAAGAGCCCCATGCCTGGTCCTACTGAGCAATTTTCAGACTTCAGCTCATTTTGGCAACTACAGGCAAAGAATACAAAGAGACCAGAATTATAATTAGATGACTTTACATTGCATCAATTAGCATGTTTCTATTGAAAAAAGAAAGCTGAGTAAAATTGGCTTAAATAATGTCCTTTATTATATTAGAAAATAAGATGCCCAGAGGTAGAGTAGCTTCAGGGTGAGTTCACCTGGTAATTCACAGACATCAAGAAGGACCCAGGTCCTTTCCATCTGTCTACTCTGCAAATATAAGCATGTTGGCTTCTCCCCTGAGGCTAGCACCTCCTCAAGGTGCTCAGATTGGCTTCTGCAATTCCAGGCAACACATAAAGATGACAAAAATCAGAGACAGAAGTGTTTCCTTATACACATAAATTTTACACGGAAGCACCTTCCTCCTCAAAAACTCTCAGTTTTCATTGGCCAAAATTATGTCACATACTCATGTCTAGATCAGTCACTGGAAGGGTAATAATTAGAATTAGAATGTTTGTTTGGACTACTCAAGATTCACTTCCCCTCAAGGCTAAGAGAAACCCCAACTTCCCTTAAAGCACATGGCCACCCAATATTTGAGAAAAATCAGGGTTCTACCAGCAAGAAACAAGGCTAGTGAGAATGACAGGGGAGCAGGAAGCCCAGAGTGTCTGCCACATATATCTAATAAGAATAGAAATAGAGCTCAACTCACTGCACACATCTTGATGCATAGAAGTGACACTAATGGTCTAACTGGTAGACAGTATCATGCATGTAAGATTAGCCATTGTTGCTATAACAGTATGTCTTCACAGAGAGCTGCAAAGACGTGAATCTCTCTTTAAAAGGCACTCAGTGATTATAATCAAAGAACAAATCATTGCTAAATCCATATCATCTACATGAACCCAGAATAGATATTTCCTCTTTTATTGAAAAATCAAGGGTTTCCTTTACTGGAAATTTCAGTTCCAATGAGTTTCCAGGAACAGTTTCACATTTCAGATATGCATTTGTAACACATTTGTATGGGTTAGTTGGGCTCAATTTATCTAACGAGCCACTAATGTGGCCAATTGTTTATGCAAATTAGGAATCACAGCTGTATTAAAAAGTAATTTATTATATAATGTGCTACCTGAATATACTCAGACATACATCATTTAATTTTTCATTTCATTCCAAATTCTTCATTTATTACATCTTCATCTCTCACGTGGAAAAAAAATGGTCAGGATGACATTTGTTGGGGCACCTGGGTGGCTCAGTCATTAGGCGTCTGCCTTCGGCTCAGGTCATGGTCCCAGGGTCCTGGGATCAAGCCCCTCATCGGGCTCCCTGCTCAGCGGGAAGCCTGCTTCTCCCAATCCCACTCCCCCTGCTTGTGTTCTCTCTCTCGCTAGATCTCTCTCTGTCAAATAAATACATAAAATCTTTAAAAAAAAAAAAGCTGACATTTGTTAAATATGTATTCTTTTCTGAAATATTTAATCAACTGAAATATTTAATGAGAAATAACACTATTACAGTATTTTACTATCTTTAAAGGATATCAGGAGAAACAATGTGGTGCAACTATAAAGCGATAAACTGAGAGGTAGGAGACATGAGTTCTAATTCTAATAGCATTTATTCAGTACTCATTATATACCAGACACTGCGCTAAGTGTTTAATTCATTTCATTTATTTAATCCTCATAATAGCCCTATAAACTATGCATTATGATCATCCTGTTTTCAGATGTGGAAACTGAGGCACAGAAGGGTGATATAAATTGCACAAGATCATACAACTCATAAGTGGCAGGAGCAGGATTCCAACCCAGACCCTGGGATGTCAGAGCTGAAGCACTGAACCGTAGTGCACTACAACCTCCCTAGTCCTGGAATTGCCACTAATTGCCTGACCTTGTCAGAGCCAGTTTCCTAATGAGTTAAACAGAAAGTTGGGTAGAAAATTTCCAAACCTAACACTTAAAATGTCAAGAAAGCCTTGACCTTACAGACATCCTCCTCTGCCAAATAATTTATATTAAAGTTATACTTATTATACACGACCAAACACCCATGTCTGGACACTCTACTAACAACTGCAAGATGATCCAGAGGAAAAAATAACTAAAAAGCCAACAATGGTATATAAGTCACAGGAAAAATACAACCCTTGGAGGAATAAGGTTGCCGTTTATTAGATTAAATTCATGAATTGCCCCAGACACTGGCGTGAGACCTACTTAGGAGGCAGGCTAGAGAGCAGGGTTTCCTACAATATGACTTCTAAATTAACTAAAGACCTCCCAAAGTATGCTACAATATTTTCGGACATTAGGCAGTAGAAAATTCTTCCCCCTTCAGAGCAAAAATTCTCACCTCTGTCTAAGCCTCCCTTTATTTTAAACGATCTCACCAAACATAATTATGAGTATTTATGAAATTTCTCAAATATCCTCTTTGGGGAATCTAGACACAGAGAGTATAGCCATACATTTGCAAAAGAATAAATATTAAATTTATATCTCTAAACAGTGTGAAATATCCAGTAAAGTGACCTATCATTCAGCTTGTCTGAAGGGCAAAATTTTAAATCTAAGTGATTAAAATCTGGAATCTTATTTATTTTATTTTTTATTATTATGTTATATTAATCACCATATATTACATCATTAGTTTTTGGTGTAGTGTTCCATGATTCATTGTGGAATCTTATTTTAATAATACAAGCAGGATTGGGCAGTATCTTCCCGTGGTCAGTGAAGTTCCTACTTGCTACACTTTTTCACTGTGTGTAAAGAGGGACATCAAGTGGTCTAAGTTCTGGAAGACTCTGTCTTGTCAGTGGCATTTTCTCAACCTAGTCTGTGGAGCTCCTATGATCCTTGATAGGATGGTAGAGCAAAGGCATGCAAAGGATAGAAAACTTCAAACTACTCATCTTCTTAAATAATCACTTGAATAATTTCAGCAGAATTTTGTAAGGATCAAATTTCTTGGGGTTAAAGACTTTTCTTTGGGGCACACAGTAATATCTCAATTATCTCCAATAGATAAAGGATAGATAAGGGTTATAATAATGCAAAACAAAAAGAACATATGTATCATAGTGTTTGTATGGGGAGGTATATTGTTTTATAGACAAATTAGCTTTCCTATTGCACTCTTTTTATGTTAAAGAATAAGTTTGTTATTCCTAAAAAAAAAAAAAATTACCACAAACAAGCCCAAAGCATTGTTGGTGCCAAGGTCAAGTTGTGCAAAATAAATTTGCTACTACAGTATGCAAGAACTAATCCATAACTTTTTAAAAAGGATAGTTACAGCTTGTTGACATCTATCATTTGGAATATATTGCAAATAAAAGTGCTGGGCACTTCGATTCTTACATACTTGTAATCTCTTTGTCCTATGTTTATGGAATAGATAAATTAAGAAGAGTTTTATGACATTTTTCCATCAAGAAAGAAAGGTTAGGCAGCTGGAGAATTGCACAGAAAGCCACTAATGACAAGAACCATCTGCCTATTATTGAAATGTTTCTTGAATCAGGAAAGCATGAAGTTCTTTTTGGATCCTTTCTCCCCTTAGTCCTTCAGGCCAGTCAGATTCTATGAATGGGGGGGTGGGGGGGAATGAGAGGAATTAGCCTTCTGTCTTGCCTGAGCCATTGAGTTTATAGTAAAATGGAGTAGTTGAGGCTGATATGGAAATTTAAAAACAAAAGAGTCAAACCAGTACAAACTGAAATAACAAAATTCATTCTGTAATAGTGAGAACTTCAAGGGAAGTGGAAGTTCACTGAAGTGATTAAAGAAAGAGTGGGCAAAGAGTCCCAGGACCTCAGTTCCAATCCTGTTCAGCCTCTTCCAAACTTCTGGCAGGTTATTTAACTGCTCTACACTGTGCTTCTTTACCTGAGAAATGGGAATACTCACCTCAAAGGGTTAATGGTGAGACCATAAGTAATACGCTTAGAAGCACCTGTCCAAAGTGCCTGGCACAGAGCCAGGCACACTGTACATGCTCACCACTACTCTTACTAAATAAACCAGGAGTAAGATTATTCAACTGAGAGACAATATCTGGACAGGACATCCTGACCTAAGAATGTCTCTCATTTCACATGTTGACAGAATTTATTTTTAAATTCTTCCTTTCATGAATTCTTTTTTGAAAATTTAGTTCCCAAAGTAACATGCATTTTTTTAAATAAAAACTACTACAGAATAGGTTAGAAGTGAAAGTCCTTTTCCCATCCCCAATACCAACCCTGATTAGTCTTACTTTTAAAAGTAACAGGGGCTCCTGGGTGGCTCAGTTGGTTGAGCGACTGCCTTCGGCTCGGGTCCATGATCCTGGAGTCCCGGGATCGAGTCCCATATCGGGCTCCCTGCTCAGCGGAGAGTCTGCTTCTCCCTCTGACCCTCTTCCCTCTCGTGCTCTCTATCTCTCATTCTCTCTCTCTCAAATGGATAAATAAAATCTTAAAAAAAAAAAAGTAACAACAGGCTTTCCTCAGTTGCCGCTAAGGTGCTCGGTCCTTCCGAGGAAGCTAAGGCCGCGTCCGGGTGAGGCCCTCACTTCATCCCCGACTAGCACCGCGCCCGGCAGCGTCCGCTTGGCACTCGCCCGCACTATGGCCTCGGTCTCGGAGCTCGCCTGCATCTACTCGGCCCTCATCCTGCACGACGACTCATCGTCGTGAGGTCACCGAGGATAAGATTAATGCCCTCCTTCACGCAGCGGGTGTGAATGTTGAACCCTTCTGGCCTGGCTTGTTTGCAAAGGCCCTGACCAACGTCAACATGGGGAGCCTCATCTGCGATGTAGGAGCTGCTGGACCGGCCCCAGCAGCTGGCGCTGCGCCAGCCGGAGGTCCTGCTCCTCCTACCGCTGCTGCCCCAGCTGAGAAGAAAGTGGAAGCAAAGAAGGGCGAATCTGAGGAGTCTGACGATGACATGGGCTTTGGTCTTTTTGACTAAACCTCTTCTATAGGCTGCTCAATAAAAAGCTGAACTCTTAAAAAAAAAAAAATAACAACAGCTCTTGGCTTGAGGTATGAGGTATGTTTCTAATCCTTTTACATGTTTAAACAAAAATATAGTTATTTATAATTTTTAAAAAAAATTAAGCCTGTGATAAAAATTATTCTATGACTTGCTCTTTCACTTGACAACATATCCTGGATATCTTTCAGGATAATGTTAATATGTTTAGATTTATACTGTTGATAAAAATTTAATATTAAATTTTAAGACAATAAATAAATGATGAAAATCAGAATAAAGTGTTCTTACATCATTGTTTAACTTGTAAGTGTGATGATGGCATTGTGATTATGTTGCGTTTTTTAAGTTCTTACCATTTAGAGATACCTACTGAAATTTTTACAGATAAAATATATGATGCCTAGAATTTGTTTCAAAATAATTGGAAGAGGGATGGAGAGAAGGAAATTTGGGGGACATAAAATAAGATTGGCCAAGAGTTGATAATAAAGCCGGTTGGTGAGTATATGAATGTTAGACTCCTATTCTCTGTACTTTTGAGTATTTTGAAGTTTTCCATAATAAAAAAATTTTAATTATTTTCTATCCTTAAAATTGATCTACTAAATGCCAAACAGCTATATTTTCAATTTACAGCAATTAATTTTTTAAAGATTTTATTCATTTATTCCAGAGAGAGAGACAGAGGGGGGGAGGAGCAAAGGGAGGGACAGGTAGACGCCACGCTGAGCTCAGAGCCCTACATGAGGCTCGATCTGAGGACCCTGAGATCATGACCCAAGCCGAAACCGAGTCAGTTGCTTAACTGACTGAGCCTCCCAGGTGCCCCAATTTCTTTTTTTTTTTAAGATTTATTCATTTATCTTAGGGAAAGAATGAGAGCGAGAGAGAGAGAGCACGGTGGGGAGGGGCAGAATCTTAAGCAGACTCCCCTCTGAGCTCAGAGCCCCAAGCCGGGCTTGATATCATACCCTGAAATCATGACCCCAGCCGAAATCTAGAGCCAGAGGCTTAACTGAGCCATCCAGGTGCCCCTATAGCAATTAATTTCTGATTAGATTAATCAACAAAATTAATCATTCCTAATGCCTATCCCCTAAGCAGCACAAAGGAAAGCAACTTAGCTTCCTTGTAGTTTGAATGTTACTATAAAAATCCAAATACAAAAACCAACCCAGAGAAGCAATGTTCACTGATGTTATGGGAGGTATTTATCAACAAGTGTAAATTACAAACTATTAAAATTACTGCTTTTTAGAGTTAAGAAGTGTTTTCCTTTTTCTGTTACATTGGAATTATTGCAGCTGGATGAAAAAAGGAAAACATTTCTCTAGTCCATGTAGAATCAAGAAATCAAGAAGATAAGGTGTGCTCTGTTCACCCAAACAGGACACATTCAATCTGTAATGCACTCACCAAAATTCTGCCCTGCTGAAGCCAAGAGAAAGCCTTTATTTTGCCAGAGGAGCAGAATAATGTTTTGAGTTTTTAGTTTCTGTTTTGCTCTACACAAACCTCAATAGTTCCAAGAAGGCAACCAAGCCCTTACTATCTAATAGGGCACAGAGCAGAAGTTGGCGTGTTTTCTACAGCTCTTCTGACTTTTGTCAAAGCCTACGCTGACTAAAGAGGTATATCTATGTGGCCTGGAGGCAGATGGGATAGCCAGAGTTCTAGGACAAAAAAAGAAAGAGTTAAAGTTTTCTCAGTATTGGAAAGAGGTCAGGATTCAGAAGGCCCAGTGAGACCCAGAATCTGGAAAGGAAAGGAAGGATCTGTGAGGTGCACCCAAAGAGGTTGACACTTGACCCCTACTCCTTTCAAAGATTCTTGAACACCACGTATGGACTATAAACTGTAGAGGAGCAGAATCTAAAATGACCAAGCTGGCTGAACAATGGCCATCTCCATATTATCCAGTGAGACCTAATGATCAGTGACCAGAGGAATTTTTACCTATGCTTCGGCAACATTTAAGACCCTGAAACTTTGCACAGTATTTGGTTCAGGAGAGCACTAATAAATATTTAGTTAACTCCTGCCAGCCCAGAAGTATGAGGAGATCTTAGCTTCAGGTTTAAGTGAACTTTAAAGATGTGCAATAATTTTTATAGATTTGGGTTTGGGTTTGTTAATTCATACAGTCTACTCCATTTAAAAAGCAACCATGCCAATAAAAGTACTAGAAAACCAACCTGCACTCATGCTGTAATTACCATCCTTCACATCTACACAGCTTTGTACATTTGGTAAGGTATTTTCACATATTGTCTCATTTGATCCTCTCAGAGTTAAGAGGGTTTGGTGACTCTTGAGCTGTTGAGAGTAGATGTGCAGGAGCAAAATGGCTTAATGGAAGAGAGGATTTTCTTCCAGACATGGTCACTGGTCACTAGATATTTTCTTAGCTTTGTTGTGTTCTCTTGCTCTCTGTCTCACACACATTCTTGTCAGACAGAAGAGGAAAATTTTATTCGACATTTCATTTAAAAACATCTGTGCAAAGTTGTCATTTGTAAGGTCAAATTCACAGAACCCAATGCCAAAGATGAATTCACTTCTTAAGGGGCTGCAATTTGGGCTGCCACCCAATGGTGGTAGGTCATGGTCAAACCTCATGAAATGGAGAAAAACAAAACAAAGAAACAACTGCAGGCATATCCAACAAAGGAAAGAGATTATAACAGTTTGTAATGCCTTACCATCAAAGACACTTTTCTTTCTTAAAACAATTCAAAAGATATAAAGTTTATTTAGAGAGAGTTGTTTTTGGGGGTTTTTGTTTTTTTTTTTCCTAGCGCAAATGGTTTGGTTCAAATTCCCAACAGCCTCCTTTTCAACTACTGGCTCTGACTTCTATAACCTGATCTCTCCTTTTTTGAGTAAAAAGAACTTGCCATGGGTAAAAAAAGACTATTTAGTGTCTACAGCTCTCTGCTTTAAGACCTTTCTTTTGTTCCTCCTTATAAGTAGTAAACACACAATTTCCCCTTGGGAAAAATAAACATACATCTGAGCTGTGGCTTCACTTCCACAATCATACATGTTCCCCTAATACTTTATTTCCACATTCTTTTTCTTTCTGAGGACTTACTCCATCCTTCAAAAAGGTCTTTCAGGTTTGGACATGGTGGCTTCCTTTGTATAAATTGGTCATATTTTTAAATTTTTTCCTTTTCGTAATCCCCATGGCAACTGGCTTCTTTGGAAACTTCCACAAAAGTCTGAACATAAATCTTTTAACTGAACAGAATATTTTGAATAAAATTAGTACAGGAAAATAACCTGGTTTCATTACCACATCCTTCGCCTTTCATATTTTTTTGTTTTGTAAAATGAAAAAAAATTTTAATGTCAATTCAGCTAGATAGAATTGGTTAGGCATTCTGGGGCTTACATGTTATTAAAAAGTGTGAATAATTTTAAAGATGCTGTCTCACCCATTTTAAAGAGTTTTCACTTATCCACTCAAAAAGTATCTATTAAGTATATAAACTGCTTGAAGCTATGAAAGATTCAGATAACTATAAAACTCAGAACTGTCCTCCTGCACCTGCCGTCATGTTAGGTAACAATAAAAGGTAGTGTATAACTAAACATTAAAACTGTAAAACAGCCCTATCATCATTTGAAATGAAAAAGGAAATGATCATTTTCAGTTGATGTAAGAGGAAAGCGAAATCTGAATTGGGTTCTGAGTGATGGGCAGGATTTGAAAAGTTGAAAGACAACATTATTCCAGGCATCGTTCCAGAAATAGAAGGCAGTACAAATATTTGCATGGGGGGCGCGTAAATGTGGAATGTTTGGAAGCACACTGTCTACATCGGTTTAGCTAGAGGACACTAAATTGAGGTACACAAGACAGGGAGGGCTAAGAAATAAGGCTAGATGACAGGTATAGGAAGCCTAGACCATCAGCCTGGATTGTATCTCATAATAGGATTAACTAGTTTAAAAAAATTAATCTAGGAGAAATGAGTAAGAGTAATCTAAAAGAATTTTTGAGATGACTTTTGTTTTTCCTTTCTCCATTTCCCTACTCCTCTTTCAGCCAGAGTGAGCTCAAGAATGACGTAATTCTATTGTACAATTTAAAGTGTCTTTCTTCTCAAAACAATTCAATAGCTTCACAGTGTCTTTGAAAATCCTACTGACTTAACATATGGCCTTTAGAGATCTGGCCCTAGCTTGCCCCTCCAGGCTTGTCACTTATACCATAGGCATCAAACCCCCTTCCACCTCACTGAAACACTCCTTCACTCCTCTCAGCCCTTTCCCTTTCTGATCTCAGCTTAGATGTCACTTCCCCAAGGAAGGCTCTCCAAGCTCCTCAAAGCCAGATTAGGTTCCCTGCCATAACTCATATCTCTAAGTCTTTAGGACCTATATCTTGTTTGTGGCGTATCCTCAGGGGAGGGGTAGTTCCCTTAGCACCTATCAAAGGGCCAGGAACAAAACAGATGCTCAAAAATATTTGTTAAAAGAATGAAAAAGACAGGGGGTATAAAAAATAGGAGCCTATCTATCACACAATCATAACGTAGTAAGACTTAGCCATTAAGTTCAAGGATAGGCTTGTGACAATGGAAAAGAAAGGATGAATAGGGGCACAATAAAAATGCTAAATGGAAAGTTCACAAACCTGAATCCTGACTGAGTAGATGCAATTCAGTATACACAATTAGGAGATTCATCTAACTCAGCAGTGTCCAAATCCTGACTGATCATCAAAATCACCCAGGAATAAGGATGATTTTTTGTTTCAATGTGTTTTAATTTTTGATAATTCTGTCATAACTATATCTAACCAATATTTAGGAACTATTCACCTGGATGACCTGTAAGGCAACTTTCAGCTCTAAGTTCTAATTAAACCAAAATATCCACAAACAAGTAATTGATAAGAGGACTTGGTAAGTAACTAAATCTAAGAGCAAAAAGGATGTTATTATACAAATTAGATTTTTTTAGCGGGTTGACCTAGTCACAATTTGCATATAAAAGGCAGCCAATAAACACTAG